AACGAAAACGGTCGCTCTTTGGTATTTCTTGATCTCCGATCCTCACCCCTAACTCGTTTTTGGCCTCCATTTGCACTGAACTTGCACTCCATATATTCTGTCTTTGATCGGCTTAGGCGAAGACCTTTAGATTCCAACACTTCTCTCCAAAGGTTAAGCTTTGCATTTACCCCTTCCTGAGTTTCATCTATCAACACTATATCGTCTGCGAAAAGCATACACCAAGGAATATCATCTTGAATATGTCGTGTTAACACTCATCCATTACCAACGCAAAAAGGTAAGGACTTAAGGATGAGCCTTGATGTAATCCTACAGTTATGGGAAAGCTTTCGGTTTGTCCTTCATGAGTTCTTACGGCAGTCTTTGCTCCTTCATACATATCCTTTATAGCTTGGATATATGCTACTCGTACTCCTTTCTTCTCTAAAATCCTCCAAAGAATGTCTCTTGGGACCCTATCATACGCTTTTTCCAAATCTATAAAGACCATGTGTAAATCCTTTTTCCCATCTCTATATCTTTCCATCAATCTTCGTAAGAGATAGATTGCCTCCATGGTTGAGCGCCCTGGCATAAACCCAAATTGGTTGTCCGAAACCCGTGTCTCTTGCCTCAATCTATGCTCAATGACTCTCTCCCAGAGCTTCATTGTATGACTCATTAGCTTAATACCCCTATAGTTCATGCAATTTTGTACGTCGCCCTTATTCTTGTAGATATAGGCACCAAAGTGCTCATTCGCCACTCATTTGGCATCTTCTTCGTTTTCAAAATCCTATTGAAAAGGTCAGTGAGCCATGTTATACCTGTCTCTCCCAAAAGTTTCCACACTTCGATTGGTATATCGTCTGGGCCTATTGCTTTTTTATGCTTCATCTTCTTCAAAGCTACAACCACTTCTTCCTTCCGGATTCGACGATAAAAAAGAGTAGTTTCTACACTCTTCTGAGTTACTCAACTCCCCTAAAGAAGCACTCATTTCATGTCCTTCATTGAAAAGATTATGAAAATAACCTTTCCATCTCTGTCTTTAACCGCGTTCTCTGTAGCAAGAACCTTTCCATCCTCATCCTTGATGCACCTCACTTGGTTTAGGTCCCTTGTCTTCTTTTCCCTTGCTCTAGATAGTTTATAGATATCCAACTCTCCTTCTTTGGTATCTAGTCGTTTATACATATCGTCGTAAGCCGCTAACTTAGCTTCTCTGACAGCTTTCTTCGCCTCTTGCTTCGCTTTTCTATACCTTTCACCATTTTCATCAGTCCTCTCCTTGTATAAGGCTTTACAACATTCCTTCTTAGCCTTCACCTTTGTTTGTACCTCCTCATTCCACCACCAAGATTCCTTTTGGTGTGGGGCAAAGCCCTTGGACTCTCCTAATACCTCTTTTGCTACTTTTCGGATACAACTAGCCATGGAATCCCACATTTGGCTAGCTTCCCCCTCTCTATCCCACACACATTGGGTGATTACCTTCTCTTTGAAAATGACTTGTTTTTCTTCTTTTAGATTCCACCGTCTAGTCCTTGGGCACTTCCAAGTCTTGTTCTTTTGTCTTACTCTTTTGATATGTACATCCATCACCAACAAGCGATGTTGATTAGCCACGCTCTCTCCTGGTATAACTTTGCAATCCTTACAAGTTATACGATCCCCTTTCCTCATTAGAAGAAAATCTATTTGTGTTTTTGATGACCCACTCTTGTAGGTGATCACATGTTCTTCTCTCTTCTTAAAGAAGGTGTTGGCTAAGAAGAGATCATATGCCATTGCAAAATCCAAGATAGCTTCCCCATCCTCGTTTCTCTCCCCAAAACCATGGCCACCATGAAAACCTCCATAGTTGCCTGTCTCCCTGCCCACGTGTCCATTTAAATCTCCTCCTATAAATAACTTCTCCGTCTGAGCAATTCCTTGCACCAAGTCTCCAAGATCTTCCCAAAATTTCTCCTTCGAACTCGTATCCAACCCTACTTGAGGTGCGTACGCACTAATCACATTGATAAGTTCTTGTCCTATTACAATCTTGATTGCCATGATTCTATCTCCTACCCTCTTGACATCTACAACATCTTGTACCAAGGTCTTGTCCACGATTATGCCAACACCGTTTCTCGTTCTATTTGTGCCCGAATACCAAAGTTTAAACCCTGAGTTTTCTAGATCCTTTGCCTTACTACCAACCCACTTAGTTTCTTGTAGGCACATAATATTTATCCTTCTCCTCACCATAACTTCCACTACTTCCATAGATTTTCCCGTTAAGGTTCCTATATTCCACGTTCCTAAACGCATTTTGCTCTCTTGAACTCTACCCTTCTGTCCTAGCTTCTTCACCCTCCCCCGTCTAATAGGATCAAAGTACTTCTTTTGTGTGTCCCGGGTAAAGTTGATAGGAGCATATGCTCCCAAACAACTTTGAGTGGAGTCGTTCGAAAAGAAGTTTCTATGGCCCCCTTGCTCATTTAACACTGCATCCGGGTGCCGATGGAGATACAGCGACCCTTGCTCACTTATCACTGTGCTCAGGCCACACAGCGCGCCACTTACGGGTGACGCCCTAGCTTTAGCGCGATTTTGTTCTGGATTCATTTTCATAAGGATTCGACGTGATCATGGAGTGCCGGCTGTCGACTACCTGACGCCCTCCCCCTCCTCCTTTATCCGGGCTTGGGACCGGCCATGTAAGACATAGGCGGAGTTAATGTAGGGCCTTACTAAGATAATGAAATTTTTAGGCGTCAAGAGCCTTCGACATCAAATGTCTTGGACTCTGCAAGTCAACTCATGTGTCATGCATGAGCATAAGAACTTAATTTCTTGGACTATTAACTTTTCAAAGCATATAAAGTAGCTTCTTTCATAGACTCGTTGGTACACGTTTTAGTGAAAAGAACCAAATTAATAAACTGCTATAAGACTCAATTCATGAGACCTATAAACTGATCATGTGACGTAGAGAATAAATGTACAAATTGTGTTTAGTACATAAAGAAGTACAAAAGCTCCTAATCAAAGAAATCCACAAATTTCTTCTATTTCTTTCCACAACTAGTTTTTGTACATTTCAGAACTAGGCGAGGGAGCCTTGGACCAGCGGGAAAATGCCCGGGGGCTGGGCCCACTTTTAACTTTACTTTCAAATAATTTTGAACACTGACCAAGTTTCAAAGCTTTGCCAATGCTTCTGGTTTCTCAGTACTGTAGTTACCGTGAATCCAAGCACAGATCTGTCTTTTATCTCCACCAAGGATAATTTGGAACCAAAGGTCCAAAATTCAAAATTAGGATATGCAAAAACCCACAATGTAATAATTGGCAGAGGGGATCAAAACATGTTGAGATGGGGATCATATCTCTTTGGAATTATATGTCCAGAACTAGAGTTTCGGAATTCTTGATTTGTCTTTGTTCTTTGCCTTAATAGTTAATACTGAGTTGTATGAATGCAGAAGGTGGAGAGTCTGAAATTGCTTTGCTTACAATATGCTGCAGCAACTCAGTGGTTAATATCATCTTCTATTGATGTTCCTAGCCTTGTCGATTTTGATGGTTCACTTGTGCCAGAAAAACCGAAACCATCAAAATCGCGGACCCCATCTCAGGCACTAAAATTAAGCTCCAGCAACAAAACTGTTGCTGACTCTATTCTGTAAGTTTGAAGTGGCTGTGGGATAAATGATTACACACGTGCACACACCTCTCTCTCTCTCTCTGACCCATGTATTTTGCAGGAAATTCGAGAGGGAGTTCAATGCAGAGCTTCAGAGCCTGGGACCGATATTGAACAGCAGTTCCAAAGCAGAACCATATTTGACTCATCTTTCGCAGTGCATTTTGGGGACCGGAAATGAACAATGATTTCTAGCATCTTTTCTGTTTTGGTGTGTGGATTTCCCGGTTTGTGAAAATATTACTTGTTAGAGAGTTTTGAATTGGTCCTGAGTCTGCGGCTGTACTCTGAATTAGTCATGTTTTTTTGTTTTGTTTTGAGGGAGGGCGGGTAGATCGTCAGGTTCACTGTTAATACGGTTGTAACTGGCTACTGATGAGGTGAAATTTGGTTTTTCCATCTGTTGGAAGTCTCAGTCATGATGCATGGGACTGGATATGCTGGCTAGCTTGTCGTGTTCACTAGAGTCGAAACAAGTACCCCCGTAGCCAGGAGCACCATAAGCACATATATCGACAGGGAGTTTCGTTGGTCTATGTATTGTAACTGCTACTATTAAATGCATAATTTTGATTCCCTTGTATACGTGCTATAATTTCCGTAACCAGCATGGATTTCCATATGACGCTGCGGCAGGAGCGTCAACATGCGTAATTAGCTGCAGCTATAGAATATGGATCGTGGATAGCTCTCGCAGTTTGGCGCTCTTGGTATGACTTTGGATGTCGAAGGAGATGGCACTTCTCGGCCTCCTCAAACACCGCTCGCCTGCTGTTTTTTGAGTGGGTTCAGTGGCTACCATCCCGACCGTCTGCTTTACAGAACAAACTCAAGTGATTTGTGAGGGTTTATTTACTGAACAACTCACCGATGGTCTGTATCTTCGGGATTCGTTTAATCTCTCCAAAATCTGCTTTCTGATCAGTGATTCCCCGGCCACCACATTCAGGGATCCATTATCACACCCAAAAAAACCAAACTCTGCCTTACGTGAAGTTACCATGTCATCGGAACCTATAACAAAGCACACATTTCCACCGTCGGGGCACAGCTTAGGGTAAGGAGCATCTTTGTCGAATCAAAAGTGAGGCGAGTGTTGCCTTATCCGCCCTGATAGGCAAACGTTGCCTTATCTTCCAAGTCCAACTCCCTTGGGAATTAGAAAATAACCATACGGCTTTAAATCTCTTGGGACTTGAAATTCCTCGCTCGATTAAGGCGAGTGTAGAAGTCGAAAAAGTGTGCGAAAATCGCTCCCTTGTTCCAAAACTCGATTTTTACATACACACGAAAACCAGGGCACTGAAGGCCGCAATTCATCACATATCTCCAACTGCCAAGAAGAGTAAATTTGGGCGAATTCCCACGCGTGACCGAATCTGTTCCGGTGAATATTACACAATATAGGCCAATACATCGAGAGACATCATATGTACATGTCAAAGAAAAACAAAATGCAAACCTTTTTCACTCCGATATCATCTGACTTTTGGTATATAAATCGACATCTGTAAGCACTATTCTATTCCCTCACTTCTATTACATCGCTAACATCGTCAGATTATTCATACTACAGTTCTGAACATAGAATACATCTACGCAAACATGCGTGACAACAACCGACAACTTTGATGGTGACTATGAACGTTAATCTGACTTCACGCACCTTAATCACACCCTTGAAGGATATTGATGTCCAAACGGCTAAAGTCCATCATATATATCGTATGGCCCTCGGCTTCATGGTGCTAATTTATGTTCCGGGACTAGCTAGCTTTAAGGATGAACTTCAGGGAGAGGAATCTAATGCATGTCACTCCCTAGGCCTGGCAAGCCAAAGAGAACTGAGGGCTCGAAGACGCGAAAAATAATCATTTATTGCGAGAAGCGCACGAGCTGATTGTCGAGTAGTCAGTATACGATGCATTTGTTGTAAAGTTTGTTGTCGAAGATTATCAGCCTGGCAATTGACAAAATGAGAATGAAAAAGTAAGGCATAGGTATATTGACTACTGGCAATTAAGGTATTAATTACATACATAAAGAAACAAAAATAACAAGTAACGTTTCAAATGTTTTAGGCAAGGCTGAAAAGTAGTTTGAGATGGACATCGCAATCTATCTATAGCCAAATCACCAAGTTCGTTAATAATTCTTGTTAAACATGTCTTCCGTGCAACAAACTTCTTGTACAAAAAAAGATGGTATAACCGCGTTTAGAAAGATAACCCTGAGGTTTACGCCTCAAAAGATGACAGTCCATTTAGCATTTGAAAACAATAAACAAGGACTATATATTGTATGGGTGAAATTTAGGGCCGACAAAACTAAATGAAGAACAAAGACATGTAGGTACTAGAAACAATTTGGTTCCATTCAAACTACAGGTTCCAACACCGAAGCACTATCACTTCGGCAGATGCGTCACTCAGCAATACCAGCCTTTTCATGATTCAGTGGAAAAGCAAGCTAGTGGAATTAACTATTAAGGGAGTTCACCTGGTGGAGGAAACCTTCAAGAGTTCCTAGCTTTCCCATGGCCATGGCCATTTGACCCATATAGTTTGCAACATTCCCCGATGACCCTGATGGCGCAGGTGAGCCACTGGCCAAGGTCTCAGCCAGGGACTGCTGCAATGCCTCCATCCCTTGTGACAGAGCATCTTCAGCCTGCTGGGATGATTGCTGCAGGTTATAAATACCCACCAGTTGCTGCTCCGTTAATGGTTCCAATTGATTCACCAGAAGCTGCACCAACGTCAAAACAGATCAACAGGCCACAGAGAACTAAAACAGTTAGAGAACATTTGAAAATAATTTTGGGCAGCTCACTAATTACTCTTTTTAAGGAGAAAAAAAAACATCAATTTTGCTGACAAATTAAGTTCAAAGATGGGCACTACAAATTTCCATTGCTAACCATAGAAATACTCGTTTCCATGGACATGGTTCGTGAACCTATATGACACAGCCATGTTTGGTGTGGGCGATTCATAAACTAGAAGCTGTAGGATTGAAGCCATATATCCAACATTTCCACCATGTCAAACCATGATGTCAGTCAGGATGATAGCCCCAACTCAAAATGTCATAAACAATAGTTTCATGATAATAGATTTTACACATTGGGAGAAAACAGAGGGAACGAAATGTCAAAATAACTTATTATACACTAGGAGATGGAATTGTGCAGAAACTAAAATGGTATAATTTTTTGTGGTAAATTACGGTTTGCCCCCTCAATTTTGTGTTCAATTGCAACATCATACATCATTTTCATAACATTACAATCTCATGCACAAACTTACAATTTCATTGCAATGTAGGTTGTGAATTAGGGTTTGAAGGAAGGATACGGTATGGTAGGTGGAGGCATGGGGTTTGGAGGGAGAGGACGCAGGGGTTGGCTTGGTAGAATGGTAAGATGGAAGGGGTGGGGTCCACATGTACTTTTCTGATTTTTTGCACAAAAAGATGTTATAAATTGATTTTCATCTTGACTATTTTTAATTGATTCATTATCTCACGTCATCACTTAATAGTCAACTTAACAGAATTGCTAACAAATGTATGAAATTGCAATGAAATCGTAAGTTTATGTATGAGATTGTAATGTTTTGCAGATGATGTATGTGGTTGCAATTTAACACAAACTTAAGGGGGATTCCAACTGTATCAAGAGTACGGAGCACAAATTTTCACCTTAAGGAGCTCAGATGAGCGGAAGCCACCAATCCACATGAAACACCTCTCAGCTGGTGTTTTCCACATTCCTGACAAGATGTGGAAAACATCAGCTTTTGCTGCAGTTCCTTTTATTCTAAAAATGTCATCGTAGTGCGCAATGACATTGTCAATAACGGTACGGAGTTCAGTGTCGCCTGCATGTGAATTAACGGCAGCCCTCAACTCATTTATTTGCCTGTTGTGCTCCTCTAGCCACCTTGCATATTCCACATCAAATGCCAAAGCACCTATGAAATAAAAATACAAATAAAACAAGAATATTTTACCATCAAATATCAGTTAAGTGGGAAAATGTTAACAGTTCAGCAACATAATGCCATGTTGCCAGAATCACTGATAAGGTTAATTCTTGCCTAAATGTATGGTCCAGATTCATAATCTAACAGCATACGAATTTTATATTTCCAAACTGTCTGGGAATAGAATATTGCCTTTTTATCACACAACACAAGAATAATGTAATGCAACGTGTTGGCAACTACACCGTTATTAATATGAAAAACAGACCCACTATGTAAAAATTCAGGGCATGCTCGGACCCAATTGTAGAAGACTGAGGATGCCAAAATTACAGAACAATCCAGGAAAGAGAAGCTGTAGAAGTCTCCACCCAAAATAATCGACTTACTACACAAATCTAATGCAAATCTAATGCAGAGAACACCTAACCCCATCTTTACCAAATTTCTATAACATACATATGCATATCAATGCAGCAGGAATTACACTTCTGTGATCATTTTCAAGTCCAGGAAATATTAACCAATCGGAACATGAAATTAAGAGGTTCAAATACCATTTCCACTCATTGAATGGGATTGATCTCCGGAGCTTGAAATGAATATTCCCTGCCAAAATAAAACCACTAATATGATACAACATCCATGCCCTTCCAGGAATGAAAAATATATGATATATGATATATGTACGTATATTCGGGGACAACAAAATCCAACCTGCTGGCGGGCACGCTGAAGCTCTTGCTCGAGCTGGGTTAATTTCAGCCGACTACTCTCAAGTTGTTGTACATATGCCTGAGAGAAGAAACATAACATTACTTCTCCACACAGAACAGTAAGCATGACTCTTACTAGATGGGGAGCACTAACAACGAATAAAGGGGAAAATAATATACTCATAATTAATACTTAAATAGTAACCTACTTTTTTCCGTAATCTACTTTTCCTGGCAGCTTCACGATTTTGAGCAAGTCTTCGCAATGTCTGCAGAGATTGATTGCACGGTAAAAGGTATCCAATAATCATGCAAGATGACTATTTAATAGTATATTTAGTTTAAGTTACCAAACCTTTTGATCCCCAGGTTTTTCTTTTGACCTGTCACTGGAATCAGAAGCTAGAAGACCAGTGATTTGATTCCCTTCAATCTGCACAGGAACACTGAATTTAAATTCACCACAAAAGAAGCAGCCAAAATCAAATAAAGAATGAATATTCTCAGATGCAAAATAATTGTGTATGGCAAAATGAGGGATATCACTTTGAATCTTGGATACAGGAATGAAAAAATAAGTAGCAAAAGTGGAAGCAGGAGATGTTACCCTTTGATTTTTATCTTCCGTGTCATCTGTTGAAGTATCAGTCCTGGGGCTTCCATCTGCCATATTGGATTCCCCCCAGTTCTCGTGATTGCTACGAGATACAGAGAGGGGCTGTGGCTCTTTTTGCAGTGGAATAAGCTGAGATCCCACAAAAGAAACAAAAAGTTAATGTCTGAAGATGCAAGGGACTGAATTCCAGATTGCGCGTAAGTTACAATTTTTTTGGTCTGTTTTCATTTTCATTTTTCATTGTTCTTGTTCTTTTGTGAGGGGGAAGAAAAATAATTACCTTGTTTAAAGCACCAAATTGGGCATCACTACTTCCCACTGCCGGACTACTTAACTTGTTATGATTAAACATTGCGCCTATACATCAACAATGATTAAGTAATTGGGAGTCAAAATCAAAGAGATACCATAATACAACAAAAGTGAAATATTATCTGAAACTGTACGTGCATATAAACATATTACATATGCCTCCTTTTACCAAAAAAACAGAATCAGAATCACATTCTCTTCATCATATTCCAACATTGCCAGAAATTACTTGTGCTTCTGAAGTCGCACTTCAGAAAGTCAATGATGAATAGAATCTATTTTAAGGTAAGAATTGAACAACAGGACTAGAGCAGTGGCTTCCAAGATGTAGGAGTATATACACTCCCAGCTGATAGGTCATTCAAGTAAACACCTACAATCAGGCACTAGGAAACTAAACATGGAAGCTGACTAGAACACTAAGAAAACCTTATTCATAAGCTCATTTACCGAGTACGAAAATTAAAAGACAATTTACAGGTTCAACCACTGTAAAATTCAAAACTGGCCTAGTATCAACTGAAAGAAACAAGAAGAAAATTGCTAGTATTGAATTTTACTTCTGATAAACACCAAGATAGTTACATACTTCTCCCAATGTCAACAGCATCCTCTATGCGAAATCCAAGAGTTTGCTCGAGAATTCCAAAATCTGAAACTTGAGATGAACGAATGGAGCTCCCCTCTGTGACGCTGAGAAAAAAAATCATCATAATCATGACTATCGAAATTGACGGATACGATCAAGAAAAAAGAAACTAAATCCATATTCATTGGCCAGATTGATAAGGCCAAAAAGGTACAATCAGAAATCATAATTCAATTACCCCTCAGAGTCAAACGTAAACTTGTTAAGAAGCTTCTTCATCGTGATGTAAACAGATGAAAAAACTTGTATAGTCTCAAAATCAACAATAACTTTGACATTTCATTTCAGTATCGAATGGTTACCAAATTAAAGGTCATGGAAACATTTCAAGTAGCATCTGTCCTGTTCCCTAATTTTAGGAGCACTACTATCATATTCTTGTATGAAAATAAACTAAAGGGAACAGACTTTAGTAATTAATACTAGATAAAATAATAATACTGCTACTCTGTTTGCTTCAATGAACAGTTGCATAATGTCAAATTAAATCAGGAACAACAATTCCTCCGTAACAGAACAATACCTCAATAAATCAATTGTTGTTTGCTACCTAGCCATGGTGGATAGGGTTTTGCCCCGCCGGCTTAGGGCCAAACTTAACCACCATATCCAGCCAATCACTTTAATGCCCTGCTTAGTTACAAGCCAACACTACTAGACTTGGCCCATAACAGAACAATGGACTCCAGTTGCTTTATTTATTTTTGTCCTGTTTGTTGGCTCTATTTTTTGTTATCATTTCAGTCATGAAAAACTGAAAAATCACAGCTATAACTCCCTTTCCTCAAATCATTGTTAATACCGTGGAGAGACATTATGCCATAAAAATCTCCATACTATTTACACAAATTTGAGCTGTTGATGCATCATTCGGATAAATTCCCAAAGGTTACTTGTAACTAAGGACTCTATTTAGTAGTAAACATGTGGAAAGAATAAACTTCAGATACACATTTTTGTGCTGCTGGGGTTACAATATAAAAGAATTCACTAGGACAAGACCTAGTCAATTTAAGTGGTTGTGATTCCATTTGACCTGTGTATGATGTCAGAATTTAAGGTTCTAAGTCCCAATTTATGTTCCTTTCGATGATACAGTCCAACAACTGGACATGCAGGAGATTCTAATTTCAGCAGCATATGGCAGCAACAATTCTACCACATAAAAACTTATATTCATGTTCTAGTAGCATAGAGGCCGCTAACGGATCACAGCTTCCAAACTAACTGAAAGGCCAAGGAATCATATTCAAAAACCACGGAGCTACACTCCTACTGCCAATTAAACTTAAAAGATAAGAACAGTCATAATTCAATAAATATGTAGGAAATTAGAACTTAATAGAAGGGTAAGCAGATACCTACCTGGGATTGGGAGTGGGTACTGGAGGAACAAAGCTCGGCATCTCGGTCACGACTTTATTACCATCATTTGCACCAACTTTCACTCTTCTACTGCCCATGGATCAACATCATCATCACCGCCGCGAATCCCAGAACCAAAGAAACCCACTTTCAACAACTCCTCCACTGAAATAACAAAACAAAACAAAAAAAACCCAAAAAACACAAACTTTTCAAACCAAAATTCAAACTCCTAGCTATGCAACTACCAGAAAGATCAAAACTTTACAAAGAAACACACAGAAAAACAAAAAACAAAAACAAAATCCAATCAAAAGCTACCTATTGAATGGAAAAATGAAACATCACAAACCCCAGAAGCAAAAACACAAGATAGCTTACATACCAATAGCAGAAACTGTATGAAGAAACAAACCCTAGAGTTTGAAGTCCAGGAAGATGAAGAATCGGAGCTCAAAGGCAGTGAATTTCTAGAAATTAAGCAAAACCCAGAAGCTGAAATTGGAAGCAGAGCTCAAACAAAACCCTAACCCCGTGAAGCTTTTTGAGGATAAATACCAAGTTCCCCTTTGACCTTTTCCTCCTAATATTAGTATTATATTATATATGCCATCAAATGGCTGCAAAATTCAACTAACAGGCCCACCATGAATTTAACTTTTCTAATTTTCCGAGAGAGAGAGAGAGAGAGAGAGAGAGAGAGTAGAGGGGTAGAAGAAGCGTGACGTCCTGATCACACCAATCTCCTCTCCATAGGCCCTTATCTGCTCTGAAACTTTTTCCTGCTTTCAAAGCTCACCTCCATTTTTTTGTCTTATTTTACCGCTTTGGGAGGCCTTTCTTTTCCCTAATTTTATGTTGATATGAGAATTTTCCCATCTTGTTTTTAAGAATGTGATACTGCCCCCATTTCCTTTTAAACTGAAGTAGTGCCACTGCTATCCACATTTTTTATTACTTTTCATACATCTCTTATTAATTTTTTTTTTTGTGATCATTTTCAATTCATTCGATTTGACCACCGAAAATCAAAAAGAGTTTGTAGAAGGTAAAAATGGGTGTGAACAGCAACACCCTAAACTTTTATCTCTTTCTAAACCATTAATTCACATTTTTTTTAGTGCGAAGAGAGAGTAAGGTTACTTTTTCTATTACAATTGTGGGGTGGGGATTACGCTAAAGCATCCAATAAGTCAATAATAATTTGGTATTAAACTTATTACCATGGTAGCAGATGTTCTAAATTTCATTATTTATTATGAGTAAATAGAATAGAACATGAAACCTAAGTGCAATAACGAATGTTTATAAAACTTGAGTTTCTTATCTATTGCGGAAAAAAAAAAACAAAAAAAGTCAAATAATTCTTATACATAGAGAGCTGTTGTTGGTACTTTAAAAATATCATAATGCATTTGCCGAGTTTTTTTTCTTCTCCTTTATCATATTTCAGCATAAGTTTATAAACATTTAATTTTTCAACATAAGTTAAAAGAGATTTCTTCAACCAAGATCAATACAAATAATTTATCCTTTTAGTAAGGTCAATATCACTTACTAAAATTTGTAGAATTTATAGTTGTGTATATATATATAAAGGGCGGTGATATCCACACACTCATTTTTACTTCTCATACGCCTCTCAGTTTCAAGTCGTTAGGTCAAATAAATTAAAGAGATCAATTGACAAAAATTATACAAAGATGTGTGACAAGTAAAAATGAGTGTGTGAAAAGCAATATCCCATATAAACCAAGATAAGTGGTATTTAAATATAGTTGGTGGCTCTCCTCTAGGTCTCGAAGGATGAGATTGTAAATTAAATGTGAATGGATGACTACTCACCACAAGCAAGTCAACTATTAGCTTCTTCTGTTCTACAAGATTAGGTAAGGCCGTGAGGGCCAAGAGAACTGGCCGTCTACGGAGTAAAGCGCTAATTTGAATGACATACTTGGGAACTAGTAAGATTTTAAAAATTTCAGTGGCTGCCCCAGAAATTAAGGGGGAAAGTAGAGCGCGGTGCTCTCCAAAAGAAGTCCTTTATGTCTGTTATTACGAGATTGCCACTGTCTGGATGCAGAGAAATATACCGCAAATGGCTGGGGATGGCCTTTTTGTAGTTTTGGTTAAGTTCAGGGGTACTTCTGATTGGTATTAAAAATGTGACGTAAAATTGTAGCAGCCTTGAATTCCCGCGCCGCCCGTTTAGAAGATCCGAGAACTTTGCTTGACCGTGTGCAATGACCTCTCTACCCTTTTGGGTTGGGCTTGGGGTGCAAAGTCAATATTGTTATCTTGGACTCAAATAAAGGTTTTTTTTTTAATATATTAGTATTATTAAGAAAGGGAGTGATCCGAAATAATTAAAATATTTTAAGTGATGTGGGAGTTTGAACGTGGGATGTAAAGTGAAAACCCAACGCCTTTATTGGGATACTAAAATGTGCATAAAAGTGCATTCATACTCTAAGTTCCATTGTTAGATAATGTATGTATATGTTCGGCTTCGGTTGTCATTTTCACTTGCAAGAAAAACAAAAACATCAATGATTTCTTCTTTTTAAGATGTTATTTTCATATTTTAGGTATTCTCTCAAAGATTATCTCTATCAAAATCACCTAAATTCTAAATTATTTGACCGTTAGATTAAATGATAGTCATCTTACTGTTTCTTTGAATAATCATATTCGTCTATTTTTTTTCACTACAATTTGTTGTTGGATGTTGAAAGTACACAATTTTTGCTTATGGAGTGTATTATTAAGCAAGGGGAGAGTTCAAAACTAGTACAATAATTTAGGGGATGTGGAAGTTTCGAACCCAAGATGCAGAGTGAAAATTCAACACCTTACTCACTAAGATATTAAAACACACACAAGAATGCATTCAGACTCAAGTTCAATTGTTGGATAGTGCATGTATGAGTTGGGGTTTATGTTGTCCTTTTCACTCGCAAGAAAAACAGAAACATCAATGGTTTCTTCTTTATAAGATGTCACTTTTATATTTTTAGTCTCCCCCAATGCTTATCTCCATCAAAATCACTCAAATTCCAAAATATTTGACTGTTGGATTAAATAGTAGTCATCTTAGTATTTCTTTAAAAAATCGTATTCCGCTAATTCTTTTTCACTACAATTGGATGTTATGATGGTTTGGATTTGTCCAATTTTTTGCAAGGATGATTTATGGATAATGTACTAAAATATAAACGGATTGGATCATTGAATAAAATTACGAAGTTTGAATGAATTTTTTCTAGGAGTCAGATTGTGTATTTGAGGTCATAAAATAAAACAGTGTATGATAAAGAGTAGGCAACATTTTTGGGTAGCTAGGATGATTATTTGGTGGATTATGGGTTGGTAGTATTGAGGGTCCTAGGGTTCATATTGAGTAAAATATTGATAGCAAGAAACGAGCGGGTGGGTCTAGGTCAAAAATAATTAGTTACTGTGTGTTTGGGACTCGAGTGCAATGCATGTTATGTGACGTTGGTGAAGGAGAACGGGACCCAAAAAAATAAAATTGAAAATTGAAATGAACAAGTTTATTGCAATGTACTAAAAAGTTTTTCGATCGGGGCCTTCTTTCATTGTTATGCATAGTAAGTGAAGGAAAAATTGTCAAAACTAAGATTATCGAGCAACATACAAATAGCATCTAACAACTAAACGGAAGCTAAATCAAATGCACAAAAAAAGATCTTAACCATGAAATTCCAGTCTAGTAGTGTGTTGAACCATGACTCAACTCAAATTTAAAGAGAGTTGAGAATCTGTTATACATTTGTAAATCCTCTTTGCATTGAAAGACTATTTACCTAAAATGAGGGTCTTCATTCCTTTGCTCTCCTTCACACTCCTTTGCGCCCTTGGACTTTGGCTTCTTGGATTTGGTGGAATTAGAATCTCCAAAGTTCACAAAGGAAGGAACCTCTATTTTCTCCACACCAAAGAGAGATTTGATGAAGAAGATGAGTGAGCTAGGAGGAAGATTGAGTTAGTGAATCTCCTCATAGGGGTTGGCCTTGTAGAGAGAATGCGAGAGAAATGTTTCCCCAATTCCTCCTAACAAAACCCTAATCACGTTAGGCTCATAATCCCATATCACTACAACAAATATGGGCACTGCGCACAATAAATTATATGTGCCCTTTGAGGCCAAAGAGCACCAACATATGTGCCCATAGACCAATAGCAACAATGCAGCAACTAAGTTTCTATCTGTGCCCTCTATGGGCGTCACCTTTGATCAAAGAGCACAATTAGGTATGCTGTGCTGAAAAGTGTAAGCACAAATAAAGGTTCTTTTGTGCCCAGTTCTGACAAAGTTGTCTGCCACCCATGTTAGCACATTTATTGTTATTGTGCCCAATATGTCAACCATTTAAAAAAAAATTAAAAACCAAAATCACCTAAAAATTGAGATTGAGGCTAAACAAAAAATTATTTTTTTCATAAAATTAAAATTATTTTTTCATAAAATTAAAACAGTCCACAACCACAAGCATCTATAATATTACAATTTACAAGGATATTCACAACCATTATATGTAAAAACAACTATAATTTTACATGTTCTATCCCCAACTAAAATAAAAATAAAATTATAAAGGTTTTAAGTGAATATCGGTTCTCTCAAGCATAAGAACATCAAATATTAAGGTTTTAAGTGAACCTGCACAGTTCTTTTCTCATCTTCTAGTTCCAAAATCTTCTTTCCAAAATGCTGCTTGAGTGCCAGTGTCGGACCCTTCAAAATTTACACAGAGCAACAAGAAATGAGTATGTAGTGGCTTCCGAATTTTCAAATTATGATTATCTTTATCTCACGAGCTGTTATATATCCTTCCTCCCACAGATTAATTGGTGTAATTCTGCTATGTATACATGCACTTGTTTGTGATTGAAACATAAAGACTTTTGCCTAACACTTTGGGTGCGTTTGGTACGCGGACGGGACGGAACGGGACGGGACGGGACGGAACGAAGGTGTAATTTTTGAAAAAGACATGGGGTATATTTGTCTTAAAATGGTAAAACATTGTGTTCCACAGACGTGGAACAAACCCGTTCCAGGGGAGGAGGTGGGACGCAAAAACACCCAAAATCTGTCCCGTGGAACAGCCCGTTCCACCCATTTTTGGCGCACCAAACGCGGGACGGAACGCCTCGTCCCGTTCTGTCCCGTCCCGTCCCACGTACCAAACGCACCCTTTAGTAACATTCTTATATGGATGGCAAGCAATCCTCACACAAATTAGGACATAAAAATAGAATCCAAAGTCCCAACAATATAATTTTCACTCTTTCAAATGTAAAGAAAAAATATGCCATTTCCTACAACATATAACAAACCCAAATTTAAAGAACTTAGGAGATTAGTAGTTGGTCTGGAGTTTAATTGATAGAACACATAAGTGTAATGGAAAAAAATTATTCACCTTGTGATGGGCATCATAATTAACTATAAGATATAATCAAACTTTACCTTAATCTGAAAGCGCAAAATTTTATATAATACCCAGGCCTGCAAAGGAAAGTAATCCCAAACCACTTAAGCACACATCAAGAAAAACCTAAACTTAGAAAGCTGCAAAAAGGTCTACACATGGACATGCACATGGGAATAAGAAAAAGAGATTTGGTACAACTATCAAGCCCCAAACCATTACAGTGGATGTTTACAAATTTAAAATGCAGCCCCTGTTCAATGATTAACACTCAAAATTTAATGTTTCACATGTTCCAGATTTAATGTAGTATCGAAAAAGTAGTGCAATACCTTTAAT